AGGCTGCCTTGAACTTGCCATAGTCCTCCTGCCTCAGCCTCCCAAGTGCTGGGATCATAGGCATATGCCACCACGCCAGGCAAGAAATGCATTTTTTTGGTACTGTGAATCGAACTCTAGTCCTTCCACTTGAGAGGCAGGCACTGGAACTACTAGGCTAAATCCCCGGCCCAGAAATGCTTCATTGAGCCGGGTGTGGTGGTGCACATCTGTAATCCCAGCACTTGGGAGGTCGAAGCAGGAGGATTGCTATGAGTTTGAGAACAGCCTGGGCTACATAGTGAGCTCCAGGTCAGTCTCAACTACATAGTGAGATCCTATCTCAAAAAGAAAGGCATCATTAATAGCTAATAGTTCTTAAGATTTCTGAATCTTTCTTATAAAATGGATTATTCCTATCATTTCTCCAGCCAGTCCAACATTCAGTATTTTGGGTTTTTTGTTTGTTTGTTTTTCCCGGTACCAGGGATCAAACTCAGGACCTTGGGCTCTTCTTTGTTGTTCTTTTTTTGAGACAGGGTCTCACCATGTAGTTGAGACTGCCCTGGAACTCACTGTGTAGTTCAGGCTGGTCTCGAACTCACAGCGATCCTCCTGCCTCAGCCTCCCAAGTGCTGGGATTACAGCATGCACCACAACGCCCAACAGGACCTTGTGCTTTCTACACAGGCCTGGCTCCACTGAGCTAAGTCTCTGTTCCCCAGTATTATTTTTTGAAAGATTCTTTTAATACTAAATGTGTCACCTGAGGTGTTCTGTCAACCTAACAGGTGGTGGCAGAGCAGGATAGACTTAGCTGTAGACATTTAAATTAGCAATAGTAGCATCCTAAAAGTGACCTAATCAGAAGGTAATTTTTTTTTCCTTCCCTTTCTTGGATATCTCTTCTGGATTGAGTTGGAAGCATTTGTGCAAGGGGATGAGAGAAGACATTGTGAACTTTCAAGGTCTTTTCCACCCCCAAGATTCTGTGATATATTCTGCATAAAGCTAAAGAAAATAGAAGCAGAAGAAAAGAAAGCACTCACTACTCTTACTCAAAAGAGTATATTTGATGATTCTATTTTGCTAGAAGATGTAAAATGAGTATTTTTGGTCAAGAATTATAAGAAAACTACAGATATTGTAAGGAGGACCAGCTAAATCTTTAGTCCACTGATCAAAGCACCCACAGTTCTCATTTTAGGGTTTAGTACAACCATAACAGTTATTGAGCAAATAGGGAGATTACATGATGTCCAGAATGTTTAATCTTATTTCTCTCTATACTTTGCTTAAGGAATTGCTCTGCACAACAGCCATCTCCTGTGAGCTTCCTTATACAACAGTGAATCCTTTTTGTAGTTATAAAGAAGAATGATTTTCATAATTCCTTGATTTGGTTTTTTTTTTTTTTTTTTGAGGCAGGGTCTCACTATGTAGTTGAGTCTGACCTGGAACTCACTATGTAGCCCAGGCTGGTCTTGAACTCACAGTGATCCTCCTGCCTCAGCCTCCCAAGTGCTGGGATTTCAGGCGTGCTCCACCACATCTGGCTACTTCCTTGATTTGGAAAATTGGCGCTGTTGACTGTTGTTGGTTTAGTATTAGTGAAGCCTATTACAGTTGACTTCTGCAGTCCTTAAAGGGTTTGGTAACTGTCACTTCAGGTTTATGTGTTTTGTAAGCTCTTGACACTCCAATCCTAAATAATTGGCTTTCTCCCCCAAATGAGAAGGGAGATCTGGCTGTCTCTCATTTATATCTCCATAGGGCTTTTTGCCCTGTCCTTCTCCAAGGCTGTTAGGCTCTTCAGGCTAGTAGTTATACTGTTTTTGGTGGGTGTTTTTGTTTTTGTTTGTATTTTTATACCAATGAAAAGAACTTGGAATTTTTGGAACCAAGTAGACATGGATTTGAATCTTGCCTCCTTCCTTAAACTTAGTATATGGCCATACCTCATAGCTATTTTGATCCCAAAGGCAAGTTCTGGGTCTTCCAAGGTGGCTAGCCCCTCAGGAATATTCCAGGGCATGGAGTGTGGGATGGAAAGTGTAACTTGGTCTAAGGCCTCTCTTCAGAGAGTATCAGTAGGGGACATACTTTGCATTGAAAGATCACATTGGTAAAATCTACCATATTTCCCCTCAACCTAGACCACTACCCATATGTTAGATTTTGTTGTTGTTGTTTATAAAGAGCATCTTATTACTTAGTGAGACCCTGTCTCAAAAAAACAACAAAAAAAAGAGCATCTTACTAGCCAGGTGTGGTGGCACATGCCTGTAATCGCAGCACTTGGGAGGCTGCGGCAGGAGGATTGCAATGAGTTTGAGGCCAGCTTGAGCTTCATAGTGAATTCAGGGCCAGCCTGAACTTCATAGGGAGACCCTATCTCAAAAAAAAAGAAAGTATCTTACTTGATCTTGTCAAGGTATAATGTTATCTCCATTTTATTAACAAAGATACTAACAGTTAGAAAAATTGGCTGGGCGTACTAGCACATACCTGTGTCTCTGCTACTCAAGAGGCTGATGCCAGAGAATTCCAAGTTTGAGGCCAGATTGGGTAACTTAGTGAGACCCTGTCTCAAAAATAAAATTTTAGGGCCAGGGAATTACCTCAGTGGTTCCACCACCTGCCTCGCAAGCGCAAGGACCCGAGTTTGATCCTCAATACCAAAAAAAAAAAAAAAAAAAGGGGGATGTAGCTTAATGGTAGAACACTTGTCCAGCATACACAGGCCCTAGGTTCAACCCCCAGTACTACAAAAACAAAATTAAAATATTAAGTCAGTTGCTTATGGCAGCTTTGTGTCTTTGGTTGTGTTCCTATGGCTGACTCTGTGTCCTGAACTAATTCAAAACATTTACATTTTAGAGCTGGGGATGTAGCTCAGTGACTCCATGCCACCCTGGCAAGTACAAGGTCCCGAGTTCAATTCCCAATACAAACAAAACAAAACAAAACAAAACTGTATCATGGTCCTTTTGACTTTGGGGGAGGAACTAGAAGTCAGTCACATGGTGCCAGAACTGGTGAATAAGGCGGATAAGGACACATGTTTTTATGAGCCCACATTTCTTGTTATATGGCACTTGGAAGCAGAATTCACTGTATTTTTTATTCCACTCATAAAGACACAAAAGCCTTCCTGCCTTGGCTACCCAAGTACTGGAATAATGGGTGTACACCACCATACCTGGCTACCAACCATTTTCTTCATAGTCAATTTCTTCCAGTTTTTCTCATCTTTAAATTTAGCTTTATGACTTTGTGACTTGGTGTATGAATGACACTCTGCTTCTTTAAGTAGAATTTTTCTAGTCTTAATCAAACCAAGTCTCCAGGTAGCTACTCAGGAGCCACCACAAGGTAGACAAAGCAGTAATCTGCTATCCTAACTTGTGTCAGGTGAGGCTACCTGTGCTTCTTGAGAGCCTTCTGGTTTTACCCTTTAAACTCTTTAAAATTTTATTTATTTTTGTGGTTTTTGAGACAGGGTCTCACTATGGAGTTCAGGCTGGTCTTGAACTCACTGTATCCCAGACTGGCCTGAAACTCACAGTGATCAATCCTCCTGCCTCATCCTCCTGAGTGCTGGCATTACAGGCATGTGCCACCATGCCTGGCTCTTTAAACTGTTTTGAAGAAGATAAAATGATCTGACAATTTTCTTGAAGCATCACTATTTGTTTTATTTATTTATCTCAGTTATTAGGGCTACACTGGGAATAGATGTGACAGCTGGGAGGGTTTCCAGTCTTACTTTTTAAAGGAAGGAAGGAACTAGTTGGAATTAAAGTACAGTTGGTAAACCATGTAAGGAAAAACCTCTGCAAACCATTGCTGAAGTGAAGTACATTTCACTTAAGCAGTTTAGGACATGGATCTGTTGTTAAAGCATTAAGTTCTGATTCCTACTGTGTGCTTAGATAACCACTGGCTTCCTTACAAGTATCACCATTCACCATAGGTACTCTTTATCACATGGGGTGAGGAGACTGATGCAGATAAGGAACAACATAGAGGAGTCTCTCCTTTCCAGGCAGAGACCCAATCTTTCTCAAGGACAGATGGCTACTAATTTTTTTTCTTGTTTTCAACTTGCTTAAAATAGAGTAATTTAGGATCCTATAACTATTGTTTGATTTTGCTGCTTTTTGATCGGGGAGTAGCCCGAAGCTGATAGCAATGTTGTGGTTTGTGGTAGCAATGAAAGTGCTCCTTTGGGAAAGAAGAGTTCTTTCTAGTAGTGAATAGAGCTTTAGGGTAATTCTTTTTTTTTTCCCCTTTCAGAGAGAATCTGTTGGTTTAAGTGATTGAGTTGAAAATGTGAAAAAATTTCTATAGAGAATGCTAGCAAATCTGCTGAGTAAATAAATAATCAGTGCATGATTCCATTTATATAAAATTCTAGCAGGGTGTGGTGGCACATGCCTATAATCCTAGCACTCGGGAGGCTGAGAAAGAAAGGTTGCTGAGTTTGAGGCCAGCCTAGGCTACATAATGAATTCAAGTCCAGACTGAACTACGTAGTGAGACCCAGTCTCAAAGAAAAGGAAACTTGGAATGATATGCTCACAACTCAATCAGATGATGGTTTCACAGGTGTGCACATATGCCATAATTCACCACATTGTACATTTTCATTGATGCAGTTTATTATATGTCAATTTTATCTCAGTAAATGTTATAAAATCCGGGCGTGGTGTCGCATGCCTGTAATCCCAGCACTTGGGAGGCTGAGGCAGGAGGATCACTGTGAGTTCAAGACCAGCCTGGGCTACACAGTGAGTTCCAGGTCAGGCTCAACTACATAGTGAGACCCTGTCTCAAAAAACCAAAAATATTTTAAAAATATAAAGTTATAAAAGAAACTAATCAAGGGCAGCCTTTAGCAAAGAACTTTCTAGGCTATAAGGAGACTGCTGGAAAAGTGTACATATGTAAAATACAAGTATTGCATGTTAAGTACAGAGACATAAACCTCCTGTTTAATACCATTGATGTTTCTTTAGGAGTCCGTAGAGGCTACTCTAGTCTACTGAAGAACATGTCTAACAGTAACACTACTCAAGAGACCCTTGAAATAATGAAAGAATCAGAAAAAAAACTGGTGGAAGAATCTGTAAACAAAAACAAGTTTATATCTAAGACTTCAAGTAAGGAAGAAGTTGAGAAAGAAAGCGAAGAGACCAGTGTGCGTCAGGAGACACAGGTAAAGATTAGAAGTGCATTGTATGCATACTCTTTATGCCTGAGTATAAATGGGAATCTTATAGGAACCCACTACAGTGTGAATACTTGGTGCTTTTTAAGAACCCCAATTTGAGCTCTCAAGAAACATCTTCCTGTTTAGTCATAGAATCTGTGATGAAATCTAAGGAGAAAAGAATGAAATGTCCAATTCATTTGGGCCTGAGTGTACTTGTTCTTAACTACATTTTAAAAATCTGTTATCTACTTGTTTATTTACTGGGGACTGAACACAAGGCTTTTGCATTGAGCTACTTCTCCAGCCCTTTTTAAAAATTTTTATTTTTGAGATGGGGAGTTGCTAAATTCCTAAGTTGCCCATGTTGGGCTTGAATTTAATGATCTTTCCTCAGCCTCCCAGAGTGGCATGTGCCACCGTAATACCAAATATTTAGTGGGGTGGTCTGAGACAGGGTCTGCTCTGAGCCTGGTCTCAAATTTGTGATTCTCCTGCCTCTGCCTCTCAAGTGCTGAGGTTACAGGTATACACCACCACTCCCAGCTTTATATTTTCTAACTATCAGAAAATAAGTGGGCCAGGGATTTAGCTCAGTGGTTCCACTGCCTGCTTCTCAAGCACAAGGGCCTGAGTTCAATCCCTAGTACAAAAAAAAAAAAGCTATTTCATGTACTAATAAAAGTAAAGTATTAAAAAAATAAACTGTTAAGGGCCGGGGATTTAGCTCAGCGGTTCGGTGGCCTGCCTTGCAAGCGCAAGGACCCAAGTTCAATCCCCGGTACCAAAAAAATAAAAAATAAACTGTTGGAATTGAATACAGTGACACATCCCTATAATCCCAGCTACTTTGGAAGCTAAGGCAGAGAATCTCAAATTTTGGGCAAGCCTTGGGCAACTCGTTAAGATGCTATCTCAAAATAAGGAAAAGGAGGTATACCTCAGTGGTACAGAACCCCTGGGTTCAATACCCTTTAGAACAACAAACTGTTGCGCTAGGAATATAACTCAGTGGTAGAGCACTTGCCTAACATGCATGAGGCCTTAGGTTTAGTCTCTAGCACATTAAAGAAAGAAAGAAAAATTTTAAAAATAAACTATATATAAACACATATTTAACAAGCCATGCTAGGTGTAGTGACACACCTGTAATCCCAACACACTAGAGGTGGAGGCAGGAGGATCATTACAAGTTTAAGGCCAGTTTGAACTATATAGCAAGATCCTGTCTCAAAAAAGTAAAACAGAAAAACAAAAACAGATGCGGTGGTGCATGCCTGTAATCCTAGCACCTGGGTAGCTGATGCAGGAGAATTGCCTCGAGTTTGAGGCTACCCTGGGCTCCATGGTAAGTTCAAGACCAGTCTGTATTTACATAGTGCAACCCTGTCTTATGAAAAAAAAAATGTTTAAAAATGGCTTATATATTACCCCTCTCTCCCCACTACTGAATCTTGATCCTAGGCCCTTACACTGAGCCATATTCCCAGCCCTTAGCTGTTTTTTTGTTTGTTTGTTTGTTTGTTTTTCTCAACCTTTTATATAAATTGGAGACAGGGTCTTACTAAGTTTTCAAGTTCCCAGAATTGCCATCCTCCTGCCTCAGCCTCCCAGAGTGCTAGGATAAAATACTTAAAACTAGAGCTTCCTGGCTTTACACACAGTGTTAAATTCACATTCTGGTTATGTCAAACCAGTCAACATTTTCTGGATTAAAAATAGTTTCTAGGGCTGGGGATTTAGCTCAGTGGTTCCACCACCTGCCTCTCAAGCACAAGGACCTAAGTTCGATCCCCAGTGCCAAAAAAAAAGTTTCTAAACTTGCCACTTGGTTAATGAGTGGCAAGAACTTCACCCTTTGGTTGACATGTTGTTTTCCATTTAAATCCATACTGTAGTACAGAATTACTGGCAGTAGATGGTCAGCCAAGCTTCTTCCAAAGTTGGTCTTTGGTGCCTAGATAGCTAGCTAGCTAGCTGTACTCTGATCCTCCTTTAGCCTATTAGAGCTCTTTTCCCCATCTGTGTTCACTGCTAGTTTCTTTTGTTATTCAAGCTCAAGTTCTGTAAGTCTTTTCTTCCTGCCCAACCTTGAGACTGGTCTTTATTATAAGCCCAGGAGATAAGCCACTAACTGTAATAAGTTAGATTGGAAAGCAAGAACAACAGCATCTTGGTGGTCCTGGAAACATGAGACATAATTTTTTGCGAAAATTTAAGGCCTTGTCCTCTCTAAAGATTAAAACAGCAGCAGTATAAAGGAATGAATTAATATCTGAACAGCCCTCAGAGATGTATTTTGGTCTCTAGCTGCCTGCTTTTCCACTGCCTTTCTTCTTTTTTCTTTTACATGTTGAATTGTCATTCCCTGCCCATCCTTCCAGAGTTTGTGGAGACAATCTGCCACTCTTCTAACTATACTGCCAGCCTCCACTCATACCAGTAATGAATTTTAAATACTTAGGACAGGGCTGGGAATCGATTTAGCTCAGTGGTTCCACCGCCTGCCTCGCAAGGGCAAGGACCTGAGTACCAAAGATATATGATGAATGTTTAATGCTGTTGTATTATATGAAAGATAATAATTAAATGAACTTTCAGATCCATGTTATTCTATTCAAGGGAGATTATTATGAATGATGTTCTGAAATGTTGTGTACTTCTTAAATATAGATGGCAAAGGAAGGAGATTTATAGGTTTTATATTCTTTTTGGGCACTCATTTGGTTTAAAAAGTCTTCATTTGCGCATATAAATAATCATGGGCTGGGGTTAAAGGGGACCTGCCTTTTCTCTGATTTGACCCTTTGCTGCCACTAGAGTAGATGGGGCTGCCGCCACCATCTACTGGAGTTCCTGGACCTTCTGCAAAATCTTTTTTTTTTTTTGGTACCGGGGATCGAACTCAGGTCCTTGCGCTTGCAAGGCAGGCCACCGTACTGCTGAGCTAAATCCCCGGCCCCACAAAATCTTTAGTCTTAGGTGCCACCTGGATCCTATGGAGCAGTCCCTTAGGAGTCTCTCTCCCCTTTGCCATTTTCTAACAGTTAATGTGCCCCTTCAACAATACTAAAAATTCTACTCCTTCATCTGTCTTCCTTCCACTGAGTTCCAAGAGTCGAACTGGAACTTATCAAAGGAGTCCCTGTATGAGTTGTAACTGAAAAATTTGGGGGAAAATAATTGGAATTCAAAACATTTTTTGCATGGAAGCAGTGCCACAAAATGCAGGTTCTGAGATTCTGTTTAGAATGGCAAAGCTTTTACTTAACATAGGAACTCAAGTGTGTTCTAGAAGTAACCAATTTGGGTATGGCCTCCTAGTTGGGCTTTTTGCCTTTAACCTTAGAATCTCTTCTGACTCATCTATCATGCTGCTTTAGAAAGATGGTTGTGAAATAAAGAGCTGATTGTGTTCTCTTCAAGCTTGCTGTGTATTTTGTTGCCTTGGGTAGGTTCTCTATTTCCCATCATGGTATATAATATTGTGACCCAGTCCCTTACTCATCGCCTCTGACATTCTGTGCTTCAATATTATCTGGTTCCTTAGTCTCTGTGACAAACAGTAACTTAAAAGTTGGGGAAAGCGTATTTTGGTACACACCTTCCCTATCTAGTTTGCTGTCCTTAGGGTTCTTTCCCTGCACTCCTCCAACTCCTGAACTCCCCTTCCAACATATAATACCTGTTTACCTTTCTAAATTCAATCCAGACATGTCTTTTTCCAGGATACTTTCCTTGACAACCTTACCATTAAAGGTCTGTATTGTCTTTTGATTAATATCTGTCTTCCTCACAGAACAAGTTCCATGAAGCACTGGATTAGGTCTGTTTTTTTTTTCTTTTATTAAGTTTATTGGTACATTTTAGGTAGACAGTACAGTTACATTCATTATTGAGATTTTTTTTTCTTTTATTGAGGTCAGTTTTAGATTGCAGTTATATCCCTCAGGCCTAACACAATGCTTTGCATATAGCAGACACCCAGTAGTGATGAGTGTGTGTCTGTGCATATGTGTGCATGTGTTTGAATTAGATGTTTCTGCCATGTGTTTCTGTATTACTCTGTGGGTATTCATCTACCATATGTAATGTACTGTATTATAATTGTCTGTCTTCTCCAACAGGATTATGAATTCCTTTTTGATAATGTGTGTCTTTTATCTGTATATCCTCCAATAGCTAGCATGATATCTGCTACAACTTAGGCTTTCAATATTTGTTTAACTGTCGGGCTGGGGATTTAGCTCAGTGGTTCCGCCGCCTGCCTCACAAGCACAAACACCCGCGTTCAATCCCTGGTACAAAAAAAAAAATTTTTTTTTTAATTATTAAAACTATCCATTCTGGGAAATAAGTAGACATATACATTATTGGTAGACAAATAAATTTACACAACATTTAAAGGATAATTTTATAAAAAAATTTAAATGGACTACAGTTATTCTATATATTTTAGGTATATTCAGTGATATGGACAATATTTATACTTAAAGAAGAGCAGAAACAACTTAAGTGGTACAATTTAAGGGACTGGTGAAATACCTTATGGTAGAACTATGCAATGGAATAAATACTATGTAGCAATTAAGACAAATAGGATAGATGGTCTATAGAATGACATCCATTTAAAAAAAATTAAAGGTCCAGAGTAGTGTGTACAGTGTATTTTCTTTTTTAAAAATTGTGAGCTGGGAACTTAGCTCAGTGGTGCTGTGCCTGCCTGGCAAGTGCAAGGTCCTGAGTTCAATTCCTGATACCAAAAAAAAAATTGTGTGTTGGGTCAGGGATTTAGCTCAGTGGTGCCACCACCTTCCTTGCAAGTACAAGGTCCCCAGTTCAATCCTGGGTACAAAAAAAAAATTGTATATACAATAAACATGTATGTATAAAATATCCCTGGATAGATCTGAAAGAAATTCAATATTCACTGATCCTTAAGGAGAGAAGCAGGTATCCAAAGGATAGATGTGAAAAGACACTTAACTATTCAGTATATAGCCCCAGTATACATTTTGTGTGTTTGTGAGTGTGTATGTATTGTCTGTTTGAAGTAGGGGCAAATACATATTACATATTTCTGGATTGTGAATCTTCCCTTCCTGTAGCAGGTCTTGCTGCTGACCAGCTCCACCATCATTTCTTCCATCTACTTTTCCAGTTCACCACTTTGCATCATGGCAGTGTTTGCTAACTAGTGAAAAATCCTCACCTGCCCAAGATTGTGCTGGTGTTCTGCCTCTGACTTGCTTCTCCTCCCCATGCCCTAACCTCAGTACTTTCCAAACTCCAACCCCTCTCCTAAAGCTCCCATTTTTGCTCCTCAGATGTTCAGAAATCTTATCAATTAATTAGCTGTTCCTTCCCTCATCTCACCTCAGACCCTTGTTCTTTATCATCTCCAGCTTTTCCCAGGCTCCTTCTCCCCTCTCTGTTCCCTTTGCTTCTTTGGGGTTTTATCCTTCTGTTGTATTCCATCTCACATCTCTGACCCAAGCAAGTCACCACCAGGAGCTTAGAGCTGGGAGGATTCTCATTCAGGGAGGGAGGCATTTGGAAAAAAATTGTTCACTCCATTTCTCCTGCAATAAGGAGAGGTATTTTGGGTATCTCAAGTTGAAAATCTCATGTTGCCTTATAACGATGTTATTTTAAGTGATAGGAACCATATTTCACACCCACTGTGATTAAATAGGCTCCTGTAAACAAACTCAGAAGAAAAAAATAACAACTCATGCTATGGTAATGACATTTCCAGAAATATTCTAATTAGGAGAGGATTCTATGGTTTGTCAGAAAGTAACACTTATCAATATGTGAAAACCACTAACAAATTAATTGCTATTAATTCTTTGTTTTCCTTATGAAGGAGATTTGACTATGTGCTATAGGGTCTCTTCCATGTCACAGTTGCTGGAGTAGGTAGTGTGACAAACCAGGTGATTTTCATCATAGTTCACAGTTATAGAACCATGTTACATTGTTTTTTATAGTTAGTACTTTTTTGTTGTAACATGTTTCTTTTAATTTAAATGTTGATTTTCCCCACTTTCTAATCCCCTTTTAACAGAGGCGGGCATCCAACCATGGTCATGCCAGGAAAAGAGCCAAGGTAAGAGCCCTTCTCATACTGATTATTCTTTCTCCCTCCCTCCCTCCCTCCCTCTCTCTCTCCTTTTACATATAGGCAGAATTTT